AAGCAGTGTTTCTCAACTAGCAATCTATTCAGTCAGTATATTTGTGTTTGATCTGTGTGAATTACAGAAATATAAGACTTGCTAGACCTACTTTTTTTTCTATATTTCTTTGCACAAAACTCTCCAGAAAGTGCAATTTAATGGGTTTTTTTTTTTAATTCTGAAAAAACATTTTTTTTTTCGTTCTCTTTTAAAGATCGAATGGGGGGCCCTATACTACCTTCGCCTTGGGCCCCCAATTTGCTAAATCCGCCACTGTTTACATTCCCACCGAAGGACACAGTAGTAACAGCAAAGATAGGTTTGCTGTATTGATGATAATGTCATGTTAAGGATGGTTTAGTTTTAAAAAATAATGAAAAACACAATTCTCCAACAACAGAATACCCCTGCATCGATTCCTTACAAATGGCGGCTACGCCCCATAATGCACTTTGTGTATCACGAGTGTGACGTCACCTGACAAAGACCGATTGGAGCATTAACTTTTTCACACTGAGTGTGCGCGGGACCCAAGGGGGTAATCCATCAGCCGGAAGTTGAAGCTGCCTCCGGGGGCCGCCATTGTAGCTGGCTATCACCTGCTGTTAGCATCCCATTGACTCCCATTCATTTTGGCGTCACTTTGACAGCGAATAACTTTACATCTGAGGCGTCCAAAGACTCCATTTGTCCATTATTTATTTCTAAAGAAACACGACAATGTACAAAAGGCTCCATTACTTTGTACCTTACGTGATGGCCCCGTAGAAGCCATTCTTGTAAAAATAGGCTAACGATTGCGTCATAACCACGGGACGCTCTGTCGCACAGTAGATAAATTACCGTATAGACCGAAGTAGAAGCTCGTAGGCAATCGTTTACTGTCTATGAGGCAATCGGGTGGACATGGAGGCATAAAGTCGAGGGAGAAGCCCATAGATAGAGAGTTCATAAAAGCAACGGGACAAAATATTTCAACAACAGATTTGTTTCAGATTTCAATTCAGATTTGTCCCGGCACAGCTACTAGAAGGTCAGAACGGTTGCTCACGTGACAACTACGTCGTCAAGCTCAGTTTGAGCCTGCGCAGAACGCTTGGCTATCAGGAAGTGAGTGCCCATGTTGGGCTTCAACTCTCTCCGTTGAAATCAACGGGGTCGCTGTGTCCATTTCTTTTACTGTCTATGGCGGGACCGCGCTCCACTTCACACTCACTACTGCGCAGACTCGGGCTCAGAGTCTGCGTAATGAGCACAAGATGTCAGCGTCAGATTGGGACATTGGCAGCTTCACTTTTCAACAATGGAAGAGAGTAAAGGTCCGTCGTCCAACTGTAGTTAAAAAAGTTCACATTGGTCTAATAATTGCTTTAAAAAATGTGACTTAAAAATGTGAGCTTAGTGGAAGCATCTAGCATCCACAGAAGTATCCACAGAATGGGCTCATGCATGTGAGATGATGAAAAACACAAACAGTGAGATGAAATTAATTATGCTGTCATATTTACATAGAAAAGGGATGGGCAATTTTCAAAAATATTGTATTCGAATATTTGGGCTCATAAAAATCGAATATTCGTTTATTTAAATGACGTTTAACGAGAAAGACGTTATTTTTTCAGTTTAAGTTATTTTTATTTTAGTCACCATTTCTGAACAAACTTACGATTAGGCAATATACACATCAAGCTTACTATATATCTTAAGGTTTTCTTTTAGTTGAAAACATTAAACAATATGTGTAAACCAAAAATATAAAGAACAAAAGCATTCAAGCAGCGCAAACGGGAAACCGCTGACTGCGCAGTTATCGTACAGAACGTATACTTGAGTCAGCATAGGTCATCGTGTTTATATTGTTTTACGTTCACGGTCATGTTGAGAAAAACAAGAATATCCACATGTAGTTTGAGTGAGAAAAAGCGCTGTGCTGACAGACGTTGCAGAGACACAAAGATAACGGTTTGCTAAGCGAAGTTTCTAAAAGCACTTTGCCTTTTCTGTTCTTAAACCTGTCTCCCTCAACGAAACTTAAAGAACAACGGACGTATATGTCTCAAAATCATTTTGCTATCAGAAGATATCTGATCACTCGCGCTACAGCTGCGCTTACCTGCAGTCGTTAATGCAGTGATGAACAGCTCTTTCCTCAGTCGACTGTTTGGATTATGTGATTTCTCATTGTGGTGGTGATATTATGATGACTTAGTTTCATTAATTAATTTGATTAAAAGTACTTCCATTTTGTAATATCATTTTCATTTAAAGGTGCTCTACGTAACTTTTAGCGGCCTCTAGTGGTGATGTTTCAGATTGCAACCAAATTTTACAAGAGCGCTCGTGCTCAAACTCATAGACAATACCGTCTATTACGCAAATATCTCGGCGAATACTCAACGGATTCGGCGAGCACCGAGCTCGTTGGCACCATCTAGTCGAGCTGAAAAGAACCATATAAGTTCCATAGTTTTTGGTGGTGTTTTCGCGGAGATATTAGCAGAAAACCATCGGGCGCGCTGCAAAATTGCCGACGCCGGTGACGTCACGATCTCGGAAGAAAATCGCTCATATCTCTGGAACGCAAAGACCCAGAGAGCTCAAATTCGGGGGAGGAGGTCCCAGGGGAACCCTTGCCCAAACGCTAGAGTGGCGGGCCTCGGGGATGCCCCCTACCGGATCGCCTTTCGCTGGGACCCCCGATTTCGAACGGCTGTAACTCGGGGAGCCGGGCGAGTTGGACCTCGGGGGTGGGCTCGTTCGAAAGGCCCCGTCCAGCACTACGAACGATTAGAGTCTTGGGAATATTGATCAAAGATTGACTGAGATATAAGCTGAAAAACGTGCGCCTTTAACCGGACGTAACTCCCTGACCGTCTACAATAGACTGTATATAAGGAGGCTCGGGAGCGCGCATGCACGTCACATCCGTTGGATTTCGCGGTAAATCCGACCCGGAGACTTCACATAGAAATAGGAATACTGGCCTTCAGAGGTAATAGCAAAACCCGACAAGTGGATCATTGTAATGTGTGATTACAACCCCTTCACACACAGGCAATAAAAAAAGGATTCATTTTAGAAGAAAAGTTCCATATAGCACCTTTAAGTAATTCCAAACTTCGCGAGGCAGACGACGACATTACGTGATCAAATACAATCAACACGCTCCACAGCGCCACCCAGTGCATTTAAATATAGCTGCGAGTTAGTGCTTGGGATTTATCATAGATTCACAGCAAAGCAACGTAGTCAATTTTTTATTTTTCGAGTAATAATTACGGATCGATTATTCGGGCACATCCCTAAAACAATTAAAAAGCTGTGCTGTAAAAAAAACACACAAAAAAACTGTTATATAGTTGTTTGTAAACTGTGGATAAAGTTCAACATGATTGTTGGAAGTGTTGAAAGTATTATGTGTCTTTCATGAGTAGACACTATTGTTTATCTGACTTGTTAGTCTTGTAAGAATTTGTCAAAATGACTATATACATGTTTAAATCAGACATAATCTTACACTGTAATTTGGTGAGTCATATCAGGATCGTATGGCAGCTGCCATTTCCCAACACCCAGAGATCCCTAGGGCTCAACTACTCATTGGGAAGAAGTTATAGTTGTGTCCTAGATTTGTCTCAGTCACATCCTTCTCTCATGTCAGTGTTGCAATACCTGTGCAGGTTATCTCTATCACCGATCCCTCCTCTGATAAGAGGTCTTGCATGAGCATGTGAGGTCTTGCACTGGTCCTTCTCGGCACTACTGATCCAAAAAGCGTGTCCGATTCATTCGACGTGACTTCTCAGAATCACCACTGTGTATCTTAGATCAGATAAGAGCGAAAGGAGAGAAATGCTGGCTGCGTAAGATACAATAACAAACTGCCCGGGTGAAGCAAGACATTGTGCCATTCCTCTGCGCCTGTTGCTGATCCTGAGAGACATTTACAGCCCGTGCCTGACGTGAAAGTCTGACATCATTGCAAGATGGAAATCATATTTGGAAGGCTAACGGGGGGGTGAAAAAAAAACAGCTGCTTCAGAGTCAGAAACTTGCAGAGAATTTCCAGCAAACTTTGAGTCATATGTTGAAGATATGTTGCAAGATTAACTCTTGAAGAATCTCTGCTTTTCCTATAGCAGCAATTTTTTTAGATCTGTCTAGATCAAGATGTCTTGTGGAAAAATGAATCGATAACCTATTTCTTAGCATGGCATCTTCCTCTTTGACTCATGCGTGTAGCATTCACTCACAGCTCTGTTATGTAAAGTTGATGAGCACATGCCCAGTGTGTACAGCTATAAATCACCTCCGCTCTCCCGCGGCTTCCAGTGTTTACAGTAAACAGTGTGCTGGAATGTAAAGTTATTTCAGTCCGTAGGCCAGGACTCATTGTAGTGGTTGTGCCACAGGCCGTTAGGCCTGCCCAGAGCCCCCCTGTACCTCATTATCTGATCAGGCCTGTTTGCTTTGCCTGGGTTCTGTTGCAGCTCTTCCCTCCACCCACAAAAGACAAACACAGACACAAACACAACAAGCCCACTTCCTCCAGATCCATTATGTCCCTCTTTTCACCCTTAACAGCAAACTCTTGAAATCCAATCTGCCCCCATTTTGTCTATAGACCGAATGATCATGACAGGACGCAAGGTCAGTTTGGAAAGAACAAGACATTGAACTCTTATGAAGCACAGGGGGAAATTCTCAAGGGAATGACCTCCTTGTTTACTATGTTGAATTTAGTTTAGCCATTGTATTTAAATGAGAAGGGAGGATTCCAAAATGTTTTGTCAGGCAGCCTAATTAGATTTTTTTTTTTTTTTTTTTTTTGGCAAGGATGCATTAAATTGATCAAAAGTGACAGTAAAGACAAATAATCTAACCAAAATGTTTTTAAATAAATACAGTTATTTTGAACTTGCATTGAAGAATCCTGAAAACGTATAATGGCTTCCAAAAAAACATTATTATTTTCAACATTGATAACAATAATAAATGTTTCTTGTGCACCAAATCAGCATATTTGAATGATTCTGAAGGATCATGTAACACTGAAGACTGGAGTAATGATGCGTATATTTCGGCTTTGCCGTCACAGGAATAAATTACATTTTAAAATATATTAAAAAAGTGAACAGTTATATTAAACTGCAATAATCAACTATTTTTTATCAAATAAATGCAGCCTTACCGACCCTAAATCTTACCGACCCCAACCTTTTGAATGTGTATATTAAAGATACCAAATGTAAATATTTTATAAAATATATTATAGTGTATTTTATATTTCAGTATATTTATTAAATAATTCAAAAAGTAAATTATAGCATTTAATAACATTGAATCAGCCTTATTACATTATGTTACACCAACGAAATTTGTCTGTCCCAACCATAGGGTCCCAACTGAACTCAAAAACACTGCATGATGCAATAACTTGGTTTCTGTTTCTGCAACAATGGATTAGGTAACCCAAAATCTCACTTCTCATAACTGTACATTAAACATCAAATAATATGTTCAGATTGGATGTGATTGTGTGACATCATCATGCAGCAGTTTCCCATTCAGTGCGGACAGACAAATTGCTTGATGCTGGAAACTGTTAGGACAGTTTAAACCGCATATTGTAACTCTTTGCAGTGCAAACAGGTACTTTAAAACCTTAAGAGTGCAGTCTTTATACTGACCTCAACCACCACATTCTGAACCCAGTGAAAGTGAGACAGAAAAAAAAACAAAAGGCGTGTCTGTTCTTTTCTGATATAGCACTGCTGAGACAGTGAGACATGCTTGAGCTGGAGTAATGTGAGCGGTGGCCTTTATCTGTCAGGGAAAAAAAAAAGAGTGAGGAAGAGTGAGTGAGAGAGCAGAGACAGAGCACTGTGTTGTGAAAGTGGAGATTAATACAAATACAGTGGAAAGAAGGAGGGGGAGCCAGGATAAAGTGGAGCTCTATCTCTCCTCCTCTTTTCTCTTGCTCCCTCCCTCTCTCCTCCCTCCCCCGGACTCCAGGAGTAGTAGGAGATTAACGTGACTGTGAGAGCTGTACTTTAAAACTGCACGGCGGGGAGAACACGCTCACACACTCAGACACTCAGACACACTTACAGCAGGAAAATCATACTGAAACACAAGGTCTGTAAACACTCAAACAGTCACAATTTAAAAAAAAATTTGACTGTATTTTGTTTATGCTTTAAAGATGTTTTCATTCATTCAATAAGGAAATTAAGTTTGTTTCTGACTGAGTTTTGGTTCCACAGGTCACTGTTGTCATTTCCTCTGGATTTCTATATGGATTTGGGACTTTAAACAATTTCAAAAGGGAAATATCAGAGACAGATCTCAATTTGTTGTTGGACTGTGAAGGAAGATACCTGGACTCACAGAAGAGATGGACGCAGGGCCGTTGGCATCAGTGGCCGAGGGCTCTCCGGAAGGGGAGACGGTTTGTGCTGCTTTGGCCCGCTATGAAACCACTTTACGAGATGCCGTGCGTGAGATCCACGTGGACGTCAGCGCTTTCAAGATAGGCATCGAACGGAGACTGGAAGAGGCCATTCATGTGAGCGGACCTCTAGGCCAAGCTGTGGCGCAGCTGCAGCAGGAGAACCGGCAGCTCAGGGGTCAGTTAGAGGCCTTGACCCGACAGGTAGAGATGCTGACTGGGTCGGTGTGTGACAGAAGCGCACTTCTCACAGGAGGATCGGCGCCACCACAGACCAACAGCAGCACCGCAGGGCATCAGTCTCCACCGTCTGCGGCCCCCAGCATAGCGGCTCTGACCGGCTCCGCCAGCGGCTCTGCCTCCAGCCCCACCACCACACGTTTCTCCAGCAGAGCCACCTTCTCTGTCACCAGCAAAACAAACGTGAGTAGACATCTGCTAGAATGAGTGGAAGCGTGACCTCGAGTGAGGTCATTTTGTGGAACTGGAAAAAATGAAGTGATGTGAGAAACCTTATGTTCGACAACTAAATATTTAGACATATAGAGAAGCCCGAAGCTGGAAAACGTATACAAACGATCTGAATGTTTGTAAAGGCAGACCTTTGGCGCAGTCTCTGACAAATGTGGGATGAGGTTTAGATCAACTCACAGTCGTTTACTGCCACCATTTCGACCTAGTATTATGATGAAGTTAAGCCAAATATGGCCATGCATTATGGTTATTGCACCACAGTTAAGGGTGTCCTTATAGGCACAAAGCGAATAAACAATTTGACAACCAAGTAATATTTTTTGGATGTTTACAGTTGACAAGCTACTAATCAACTTGCCGCATTAATATCAAATTTAGAGTTGGATCAGTTTTATGAAATTTGTATGTTTTTAGACTGCAGGGGCGACACAGAAGCTGCATCTAAAGTGGCTTAGCCAATGAGCTCACTGCACAACCTTCAAATATTTGGTCAGTATTGCTGTAGCAGTTGCAGTTCTTTCAGAAATACTCCACCTCCCCCAGCTCCACCTGTATAGATCTGCTATTGGTAATTCATGTACACTATATTGTGCAGCAGCAGCATATCTTACTTGCTCACAGCAGTGTGTCGTGAATGTATTGGCAGTAGCAGGCCCTGCACTTACTCTGCAGCAGCAATAACCAACAGCAGCAGCAATAACAGCAGCAGCGTAGCAGATCTATTCCGCCAATACCAAATCAACATTGTCATACCCATTACCATGACACTCCGAGAGTTGACATGACAGAACTAAATTAATAATATGAGTTTATAATAAATATGGAATTATGGAAATAAAGTAAGGTGGCTCTGATGCTGCATTTCATTTACACAGAAACCAAGCAGCATATTTTATTAATCTTTTATGCAACGCTGTGCATTTACGCATTATTTGGAGCAGGAACAGAGTCACTTTCACTCGGAACAACCTTCACTTGCCTGTCTAAAGACTCCAGATTTTTGTGAAATGACACATTTTGAATAAAAACAATCACTTTGAAATGCTCAAACAACCCAGATGTTTTGACCATAAGCCCATTTTAGCACATGTCATTCATTCAAAGCATGTTTTATTTGATAGGTCCATTTCATTGTTTGCATATTTATACTGTATACCCCCAAAGTTGAGGGTACATATTCTGAGATGCAGTTTTTGACATGATAGATAATGACTCTATTCAGGATTTAGAGAATTCAGCTCTATTTTTAGGAGACTTTCTATTGAGTTGAACCTGTCACCAAAGCCTTTGCAGCCTTTACAGCTGCTGCCTGTGACATGAAAACGTCACTCATTAATCTAGAGCTCTGTGCCTTGGAGTATAAAAATACTATCATTTGCATAGCATTCAAATTACATTGGCTTGTTTCATAAGGTCTTGTTTTATATTTCAGGTTTGTAAAAGGTATTTCTAAATCATAATTTCAGTAGCTGGGAGTGCAGTTGATTTTGGCTGTGAGTGAGAGTTAGTAGAAACAAGGAAGGCTGTTATCTTCCCTGCCACATCCACACCTGCCAACCGCATAATGAGAGAGCTGCATTCTGGGCTTGTAAAATACTCAGAGACTGTTGTGGCAGGTCCGCGGAGCACTCCCTTTCAGTCCCAGCCTGCAGGATAAAGTGAGCGAGAAAGACTGGAAAAAGACAGCGAGACTCCACGTGGGGATGTGTGCTGGCCTGCCTCCACATGGCTGTGCTGTGAGCACCTGCAGATATCATGAGAATCACGCTTTATCTCACGCTCTTTCTCCTAACTCTGTCTTTCTATGATTCTTACAGAGCCCTGTTGTACTTTCTGTTCTTGGGAAATAAGTTTATCCTGGGCTCAATCTCAGACTGCCGCCACTGTATCTGTGGCATTTCTTGTTCTCCCAACTATCATTTTGTCTCACACAAAACACTCCATTCTCCAGTCCACTTCATATCTGTATCACTTTCTCTCCCTCTCCGTCTTTCTTGCTCTCATTCTATGATTGATTGGCCTCATTGCAGTTCATAGTCCTCTGGCAGGTTTTATATTTTATTTAAGTGAAGGTGTACAATTGAAGGTGTACAAGATGTACAATTGAAATTCACATTTTAATGTAGTAATAGCAATTCAAAGAAATTCATATCAGTAACTAAAAAAGTTTGTCAAGGTTTAGATGGATGGATGGATGGATGGATGGATGGATGGATGGATGGATGGATGGATGGATGGATGGATGAATGGATGGATGAATGGATGGATAGATAGACAGACAGAAGGACAGACAGATAGACAGATAGATGGGCGAGCAGACAGTCAGATAGATAGATAGACAGACAGACAGACAGACAGATGGGCGAGCAGACAGTCAGATAGATAGATAGATAGACAGACTGACAAACAGACAGACAGATGGGCAAGCAGACGGTCAGATGGATAGATAGATAGACAGACAGATAGACAGACAGATGGGTGAGCAGACAGTCAGATAGATAGATGATTTGATGGATGGATGTATTGATGTATTGATTGATTGATTGATTGATTGATTGATTGATTGATTGGTTGGTTGGTTGATTGGTTGATGACAAAAAGATACCAGCTTCATATGTATGTTTATGCTGCGTTGAATTTTCCGTGAAAACTTTAAATGCACATGAACCGGATCGTGCTGTGTTCCTCTCTCCTTTCAGAGTTCATGCAGCCAGCGAAATGCTTTTGCTCTGTCCTCACTCTGTGCTGGCTCCACAGAGAAGTCCTGCACTGCTGTTGCCAATTGCTGCAGCATTTCTGTGGTTTCAATGGACCATTGTGTCGACATTCTGCCTCATTTGAAGTACGTTGGGTGAGTCAGGATTTGAAGAACACCCAGGACACCTTCCTCCTTTCTTTCTTCACCAAAATGTGGTGTAGATGTAGCCCTGCCGGCTCCTCTGGAGTCTCTCTTGCTCGGAGGACAGGTGCTTGGCTGGGAAGGGAACCACACCTGTGGAGCGTGGTCTCACCGCACGATCACACTTGGCCCCGAGCACAAAGACTCTGTCCTTCATTACTGCCGATGTGAATAAATTGTTTAGGGGTCAGTGGGTTATCTTTGATTCTACTGTGCCTCAATATAGTCACTGCATTGTAAATGTCAGATACTTTGACTCCCGCTGGAGGATCTGTGTGTGTTCGGCTGTGCTTCTCCAGGGCAAGTGAGGGAGACAGTGGAGATTGGGGTGGGAGGAAGATAAGATTTGCGCGGCTGCCTGTTATCTGTGGAAACTTCGTTAAGGCACATTTAAAATCTCAGTGAAAGGATATAAACACACACAGATGCCCACAGACACAAACAAGCTAACAGATATTGGAAATATTTAAACATTAACTCAGTCAATTTCCTCATAGCTTCATGCTGTCAATCCCAAATTATGAAGATTATAAGGCCTGGGTTTGGCCTCCGGATTCTTGCTCTTGTCTAAGAGTTTTTAGTTTTTTATTTAGCTGCTCTGCATTGTGCTCCAAGTTAGCACTATATCAAACTGGATGTTAGCAGCTGTCTTCTAGCATCTTGGTTCAGGTGCTAACCTGGTTGACTTGCTAACATGGTTGACAGTGGGTTTCAGAAATCTGTCAACTAACAATTTTGTGTTGTAGTTCTCTAGACAGTTCATTCACAGTACATTTTTACACAGTTTTAGTCATTTTGTCTGTTGACGAACATATCCATCAGTATTTTGTCATTTTGATTGATTTTAGTCAGTTTTACTCAACTAATTTCAGCTGAATTAACATTTTAGTTTGCGAGAGAGTACAAAATATATTCAAACATTTTATGTTTTTTTTTCTAGTTATATTTTCATCAACATTGTTTTTAATTATTGCCATGACACTTTTTTATCATCTTTTTGTTGACGAAAAAACAACAACTTTATTGACGAACATTTTCTTGAACCAAACTAGCCCTAAGAATTAAGATGTATATTGTTTTTACTGAGGAGCTCAAGAATGTGTATCCTTCTTTCCTGTGGTCATACTTTTCAAGAACTTTTAAACTGGCAAAGAACTACTAACATTCATAATTTAGACATACACCGTTTACCATGCTATGACATATCTTTCCTGTCATGTTTATACACACCACACATCTGTAGCAAGGACCTTTTCTTCTCTACACACACACACACACACACACCTCATGTTGCCAAGCATTACCAAATTACCATAATAGTACTTCAAATCCCACGTTTAGCTCTGGCAGTGTGAGAAACACCCACCTCACTCTGGCGACCTCACCCCAGAGTGCCAGTACATCTAGTTTTCAGTCCACACAGCCATCTAATATTGCCAGAGATGAGCTGTTTTTAAAACATGAAGCCCAGAAAGGAATGTGGTTTGATCTGAGCTTTGCTTTAAATTCAGTTTTGATGTTGGGAATTTTCTAGATTTGGATAGCCTACCAGGTAGCCAAGCAGGCCTCAGAAGGCTTAAAGGCTGAGCATTTGTTTGCAAAGATTCACTTAAGCGTCCAAATTTGCAAGGCCACTGGACTCATGACTTTTATTTATGAGGCGAAAGTGTATGAAAATGCGCCTGTGTAGTTTCACACCTTAGCAGGAGGGTTTAAGGAGCTTACTCGAACATACTAGTGTGTGTTTGTTTGCATGTGTTTGCCTGAGATATGCTTGATGTTTCCAGCTCGGACTGGCCCAAAGCCAAAGCTCTCACAATGGAACAGAACGTTTAATCTCCTCCCGTTGCCCTGCCTGTATCTCCATGTCCAGCACAGATTCCTGGCAGAGAAGAAGTTGCAGAACAAAAAACCTTTGCACAGCTATTAATACAGTAGAGTGCAAGAGAGAGAAAGAGAGGGTGAGAAAGAGGGAATGTGAGAGGGAGGGTGGAAAAGAGAGAATAGATTGTGGATGGGAGGCTAGAGAAAGGCATCCAGCCGCTCCCAT